AAACAACAACCATTGCAGAGCAGATTGCACACTACAGTGGCTGCTAGAGTCCTTCACTGAAGGTCTCAGATGTATGGCCCAACTGGGAACGAAGCAGAGGAAAACAAGGCAGAAGGAGCTTGCACGTTCTACCTGCCTTAAACCAGAGCCAAGACCTCCAGCATCAGGGAGATCAAGTTCAGCCCTCCGGTCTCTGGCACGGTGCAGCCACAGAGCAGGGTGTCAGGCCCAAACTGAAGACCCCAACCATCCACTCGGGCTGCCAACCCACAGGGCACAGGCTGTGCTCCTTGTGGTGGGGTGAAGAGGTCCTCACTCAGCCTCCTAATCCCAAGCTTGCAGAGGAGCTTTAAGAAAAACAAACAGAGGCAAAGGCATCCTCTACCCCTAACTTGCACACCACTTCTTTTCAAAGGTGAAAGAGCAGCTCTATTAGCAGCAGACGATATGCTGAGCAGAGCCACTGCATTTTGCTGATGGATACGGAGAGGCAGCAGAGATGGCAGCTGGAGCAGGCTAAAAGCTTTCCAAGTGCCACAGGAAAAGAAACCATTATGCGAGCACACTAAAAGCCCATTCATTGCTAAGGAAAGGGCTACTGAAGAATGTGGGATGCATGCCGAAAGCTGCCCGGCCAGTGAAACAGGAACATTATGGAGCCCTTTGCAAAGACTCTGTCTCCTTCCTTTGGCAGTGGCACTCTTGGACGTGGAGTTGTTTCAGCTCGACCCTTTGAAATCCTGCAAAAAGCTGTCTGCAGGCACAGAGAAGCCAGGTTGTACCAAAGCGTGTTTCTTGGTGTGGGAACTGTAAGTGGAACACCCTTATCCAGGGCCAAATGCAGCGGGGGAGGAAAGCGAATGTGCAGCCTGGAAAAAGTCCCCTGCAAATACCGGCCATAACAGGGAGTGACTTCAACTTCGAAAGAGAGCTCTGCTCCACACTGCCCACTCCCTGGGCCACGTATTCAGAGGCAGGAGCACAGCTCCGGAGTGAGAATGTTGCTTCCCCAACTCTGGGAACAGCTTGGCAGGGAACCAGCACAAAGAGGAAGAGAGACAGTACCTTCGCGGGGTCGTGATGCTCTATTGACTACTCCTCATCTGCTCACTGCCATGTATTCCTGAGACTTTTGAGAACCTGAAGTCTTTGACCTCTAACTCTATGCCCATCTCCATTAAATTTGGCCAATGGGTTCAAGATCTGAGGGAACCCACAGGTAGATAGAAAGACCCACACATGCCCACACACAGCATTACTGAATATACCTTGTTTCCTTAGGAAAATAGGCCAGAAGTAGACATGTAAAATGTTACTGCAACTTTTTGGAAGGATAAAGCTAAATCTTCTCAAAGTGGAGGAGAGGAAAGACATGGAAACACTTAATGTGTTGGAAAAACAGCCGGGGGGCTGGACCAGGAGTCTCTCAGGAAGGAAGAAAGAACATTCAATAACTAAGCTCAGCTGAAGCAAAACCATTGAAAACAAACTGCTCGTGCCAGGAATTTGGGGAAAGGGCCAATACTGAGAAAGGGAGAGAAAAGAGCACAGAGAAATACTTGGTTCAAGCAAAAACGGAGACGTACATCTGAAGAACATAACAGGGAGGTGCATGTTACAACTGGCCAGGATGAAAAGAGTTTAAAAAGAAAGAAGGAGAGGCAAACGCAGCTTTATAAGTAACGGAAGGGAAATCAGATTTTCAGGCAGAGCTCAGACATGTCAGCTAAGTACAGCCTTGCGAGCACTGCACGATGCTTAATCCGAAAGGAATCCCAAATTCCACTAACAATATCCACTTCAAGCCAGCAGATGCACCGTCTCCTGTATGCCCTCAGGGCACTAAAAGTACTGGTGTTTCGGCTTTTGTCCTTCCTTCATCCCTCCTGAATCCTGGCTTACCCGTGCAGGGGCCACAGCTAGCCGCTGCTAATGAGGCAGGAAAGGGGACCGATGGCTGGACCCGGCTAACGAAGCCATTTGGAGCTTGGCCCCGCGCGGTGCTTGCACCTGGCTGCCACTGGGAGGGGGAAGGGATTGCAGGTCACTTCCATCTCCCTGGTTTTCCTCCCCAGAATTCGGTGACTTGTTTCTCCTCCATGGGGCACCTGGGAAATCCCCGCAGAGCAGCGGGGCGCTTCGGCTGTAAAAACACCTAAATCCTGCCTCGGCTGCAGCTCGAGCGGAGAACACAAAGCACACGGTGACGGGGATAGAGCCCTGTGGGTCTCATTACGCAGGAAAATTTCACTGCGGTGAAAGACTGCTGTCTCCTATTCACACTCAATCCCCAGCACCCGGTGAACGCCGAGGCACGGCCACGAGCCACCCACGGCGGCACGCACGCCGCTCTGGTTGATTCTGTTCAATCACGGTGGGGCAGGATGGGGCAGGATTTGGCCCTTTGCCTCTTAATGCACACACAGTCTGAAGGCTTGCGAGCAATGAACTGTAAAAAACGAAGAGCTGACAATTAAATGCTCAAAATCTGCTAGGACTTTGTCCAGAGTGGGCTAAGCAAACAAGTACAAATGTAATGACCTATGATCTGCACAGCTGAGTGCAAATCTACGCGCTACACTCTTCATTTGATTTAAATCATATGCCTTTATGACTTAGCTTTCTTGTTTAATTAGCCAAACAAAGAATGAAAAATAAATGCATAGAAGTAAGCCTAGACTTGTCCAGCTGGCCTCTAACCTCCTTTACTGAGCTGAGAGGGTTGTGTTGATCTGATGTCTGCAATGTTTAATGTGTCTGTTCATGTGGTACACAAAATGGGGAAGAATTGCGTGCAAAGAAGGGACTGAGCTGCCAAATCGCCCGTGACCTCAGGGTCTTGCAGTGAAGACAGAGGCAGTGACTATTGGATGCTCTTGGAAGGGTAATTTTGGGTGAAGGAGGACTCAGACCTCTGAGATGCTGCTGTGCATTACATGGCGTCTGACCATGGGTCTGGAGGAAGGCTCCCACTTCATCCTCAAATGATTGTCTTGGGAACAAGAGGCTGAGCACGGAGGTTTAACGTCTTTTGCAAGAGAGCATCGTCGGCTGATTCCAGTGGGTTCGGGGCACATTTTTCTTCCCGGGACATTGCTCATGGCTGACCCCACTCACGTGGAACAAGGAGACACCACCTCTCCTGTGCCACCAGGCCACTAACAGGGAATGTGGGGAAGACAGCAAAGACTCCTCTTCCCTGCGTCAGCACTTTTAGCCAGAAAATTGTTTTCAGAGATTGAATTCTGATGGCAAGGGATGTTTTCCATTGTGAAACCATTTTATTTTTCTAGCTTCAAAGTTTTTTTTCTAGCTTCGAAGTTTTTTTTCCTTTCTATCCTGTCAAAAGTCAATAGGAAAAATACTCCAGAAAGATCTGTTGCAAATGCCTCGATTTTCTTTTTTACCCTGCTCTTCTTCTTTGTGCTACTTTTAATTTTCAGACTGGCTCTATTGTTGGATAATTACATTGGCTACTGACTCTCAAACAATTTCAACGATATTGGATAATTACATTTAGAGCAGTTGGACTGAAAACACACCGAATCCAGGAGAAGCATTTCACAAGAGGCTGAACAGGATAAGCAAGCAGGCACATGTGAGTTAATGTACGGGTATACATGCCCGCACACCCACGCACACGCGCTTCGGGTACACAGCCCAGACTTTGCAACAATGAAATGTTCAGGACCCTGAATCATTCCCTGCGACCTGGATTCCATGGAAAGCAATTCCGACTGGCAGCAGGGGAATTCCTAAATATATGTCTACACTTTAATTAACACAAGAGCAAACAACTCCCAAGGTGGAAAGCCTGCAGATATCTTAGGAGAGTCTCCTTGATGCACTTCAGAAGCCTCACCGGAAAATAGAGCTTTTATTTCTAAATGCATTCAGTCCGGTTCAGGTTCCAGATAAATCATCAGCTGCAACCAGCTGTGTAACTTTACTCCTGCTATTCCTTTTTAGCCAACAGCAATAGAAACATTCCCCTTTATTTTTGTGCCTACTCAGAAATAACTTTCTGGGAGCTTATAGCCCACCATGTGTGTACCAAGGGGCCAAAATGAAACCCGACAGGTTGGGGAAGTCTTACCTCCTGTAGGGTGGCTGTCTCCTTGTGCAGGCTGCCCCGCAGTGTGATCACCGCGCACATTTTCCTGCCCCAGCTCTCAAGCGGTCGGAAAGGCCAGTGGGCAACGCTACTGCATTTGGGGAAACATTTCTGGGCAAGTCCAGAGGCGCCCCAACCCCTTGGAGAGCCGGTAAAAGGGTACGAATTGCGTATGGATTTTCTACGCGTCCAGCCACCACAGCACAATTCTCGTCCAATCCCCCTGGCAGAAATCATTTAATAACGGGTGCCTGGGGGACAGTGGTATTTTTGGCTCTGAACTTGTTTGTGTTCCAGTTTCCTCGCTTGGGCTCCTATCTGCCCCAAGGAAGCTGAAGTGATGAAGATGTGGTGGAGAATGGAGCACCCTTGGACAAATGCCCTCTGGAGAGACGATGTATGTACAGCTGTTCTATAACCCCGCCACGTCCCTGACTTAGGCAGGGCGCTATATTATTTAGACAGCCCGAGCGAAGCATGAGTCCCTAGCACTGCACACACGTTGCTTGGCTCCTACAATCTTATTTAGGGCTCATTCTTGTTTAGGGGGAAAACAGGACTTGCACGAATGCAAATATCATCTTGTCCTAGTTGAAGGCCCAAAAGGAAGTCATGGTTCCCCTTCCCACCTCCTGCGGCTTCTCGCTTTGCTCCGGGGGTCGGGGTAATTTGCTGCCTCTGAAACTTGGTCGCGTCGCTCTGCTGGAAACAGGGACAACTGTCCGTCTCATGGGTTCAGCTTAGCACCAGGGTGAATCTAATCCTAGTCACAGCTGTAAGTGCTAAGCAACCCCTGCCTTACACCTCCTGCAAGTGCGTGCGTCCAGGCAGCGGCAGGAGAGGCTGACACCTCCTGGTGAGGAGATTAAGTGCACGGATTCGTGAATATTGATCAGAAGACCCTTTATTAAGCGAAACCGCAGGTTATATAGTGTTGTTGTCTGTTCACGCGTTTAAGCCATCATTTGATTGGTTACTGCTGAATGCCACGCGCAATGCAGTCACATTCTATTAGTAGGTTAACAGACAGTGTCTAAAATCCGCATAATCGTCAATCCTCCTGTTAAGCTTTTGCTGAGCAGCCTGTCATTCTCCTCCAGATTCTATTTTCTCCCATAGACTTCCATTCTTCTTCCTCCTGTGTCAATCTTCAAGAGTTTCATAACCGTCGATGATGTCGCCACCTCCAAAGCCGACCACAAAGCTTTCCACATCCTGGTATAATAATAATATCACTGGCAAATGATTCACCATCCATCACTTGGGAAATGTGGATTTGGGTAGACCCTATACGCATGCTGGTTTTGCTCTGGCACATGGCCACCTTGAAACATGGCAATACCTTCAGCGGTCACAAGTGTCTGTATTTTTATCATGAATGCACAGCTGTTTTCCTTGCATATCTTTAGCATGCCACCGTTTCCCTGTGCAGAATGTAGCTAAGGTTGAAAATATCATTCAGCTTGAAAATATGGTTTGCCAAATGTTTGCTGATATCACAGGACCTTTGCTAATGGCCCTGAGAATGTGGTTTTCATAGGGGTTCTGCAGCCCTTCCCAGCGTATCACTCCAGGCAAACGTTGTTGTGTCCTTTCTCCTAACGATGAATTAAAATCTGCCATTGCACATGTATGAAAATGCGATAGCACCCACCTGAAACCCACTGTCTCCCCATCATTTGCTTAAAATCGAGTCCGTTTAGCAGAAGGTTTGCAACAGGTTGCAGGAGATCCGGCCTGTGAGAAAGTCCTAGAGCAGACGAAACCCAGATCCAGGTATCTTCCTTTCAACTCCAATAGAAGAGAAATGCAAAAGAAAATTATTGCAGCAGATGCAAATCAAGTTCCACATCTCTCATTACCAAGAGTGAGTCAAAACACTGGGTTCCAGGTATCTACCAGGATTTTAAACTTATTTGCAGGAGACAGACTGTCACAAACTAGCACATTCTGAAAAAGTAGACTGGCAATTATTCTCTGTTTCACAACAAAAAAGGGCAATAAAGTGGGAGCCATCCCAGCTTTTTCTAATCGACACTTCTTGTTTCTTGAAAAAAAAGAAAAGTTCTGAAGAGCACAACTCAAACCAGGCGCAGACTTTACAGTAACTTTTCTGTTTCTGTTTTTCTTGGGGAAGCATCACCAAGACAGCCCAGAGTTTGCCATATGAAGTCCCCTCCAACTGACCTTGTCTTTGAGATGCGATCAGAGATGGACCCATTCTCCCCAGTCCTCCAAAACCACACGGAGCAAAAATATCCTGCAGAAAAATGAGTAAATCAGCAGGCAGGGGAAGCAAAGCTATTTTGATTGCAGAGTGCCACCCACTGTTGGAGAGAGAGATGGCACCAGCTGCTGCTGGCGTGTGCTGGTGCTTCCTTCTCCAAAGGGCCATGGTTGCTTTTCAGATATCTAAGACAAACCTAGGGGCAGTCATGATAAGGCAGCTGTGCTGCTCTGCTAGAGATGCAAACATTTCTGCAGCCCAGTAGCCCAAGCCTGTGCTCAGAGGTGGCGCAGAAACCCAAAGTGAAGCAGAGATCAGGCTGGGAGGAGGCCTCAGCGAGCATGGAGAAAGCTTGGGATACTTATGGGTGTTGCAAGTGAATAAATGGAGAACATGGCACTTGGACACCAGCCCCTCATGGTGGCCTGCACGTGCCGAAGAGGGTGAGGAGACGGAGAGAGGGAGACCCGGGACATACGTAGGGACGGGAAAGCAAAAGCCCACGCGCACCCTTCTGCAATGAAGACACTTAATCTGCTGCTTGGGTTTGCTACCCACTTTGATTATTGGTTACTTACGTGTGTTGGGATGGAGGGAATTACATGACGAATGTCCTCTGTCTAGCCATCGGGTGGAAAAAGATTCACCGGAAGAGTTGTACCGCACTCTGGGCTAGGACACTACGTATCTACAGCAGGGAAGATGTTTCCATCTGCCTTACGAGGAGCTCAAAGCAGAGAATCCTGACAGATCCAGCCAGCCTTAGCTCTCCAAATCTATAAAATGGTTTATTCTGGGAAGAGACAAAGTTATATTTAGCTATACAATCATCCAGCCCACCAAAGGCAAGTCAAGAAGTCTTTTTTAAAAGGGTAACAGGCCTCACCCACGTTGTTGCGGGATGGGATCTGCTCAGGCAGAGATGCCCTCAGAGCACAGATCTTTCGTCAGGATTGTCATTTGTTGCAATTTCCATCCCCGCAGAGCCTGCCTCCTCCGCAGGCGCTGTCCCCAGGGAGTCAGTGGTTGTGAAATATTCATACAGCCCAAGAATTGCATTTGCAAGTGCGGCCTGTGGAGAGACCATTGACTAGAGGAGCGAGGAGGGAGAGGCAATAGGAGAGAGGGGAAAAAAAGGGCAGAATCCAGGAAAGGAAAGGTGAGCTGTAACTCCCCACTGCTGCACTTGCTCTTCCCAGCATGCAAGCGAAGGCAAAGAGCCTTCTGCTCTGCTGGGATTTGTGTCTGGTGTCTGTGGGGTTGCTCCAGCGCTGCTTCAGGTAGGGAGCGCCGCCGGCTCCGAGCATGTGAAACTAATTGATTTGCTCCTCACTCGGGGATGGCTAAACGGCATTTGCATTCATGCTTCTGTGAGCCTGGAGAATAAGCTCACCAGAGCACCACTTCCGTAGGAAACCGAGGTAGCGCGTGGCCTGCTGAAGGGTCAGCCGTCCCGATGCCAAGCTCCTAGTGACGTGGTGCTGCCGGAGGAGGAAAAGGCAAGAAGGAACAACAACAGAGGGCAGGCCAGCCTGTGGCCTGCACCATCGTTTCTGCTGCAAGGCGGCACACTTCAGGAAAAAGCTGAATTCACCAGTTTAGGCTAGGAATTGTGGGGAGGAAGGGGATTTTCTACGGGAAGAAAAGCACGGTGCCAGGACGGATGGGCAGTCAGACAAACCGCCACGAGGAACGGCTGAAGTTCTGTCCATCCTGCTTTGGAGCAAGCCAGGAGAGCACCAAACCATTTCCAAAGACCACTGCAAACAAGTGCTTTGGTCACTGACCACGGGGCACCTCCAAGCTGCTCTGCTGTGGAGGCAAAGCTGCATTTTGCTGCCCTATAGCAGCCTGGAGCCCTTGACAGCTCTGGTATTGCAAAGCGCTCCTAAGTCAGCCAAGGCTGTGAACACCCTCCAGCTCGGGCTTCAGAAACCCACGGGCTCTGACGCTTCCCCTCTCGGCATTTTTGCTTCCCTGCTAGGTCTTGCCTAGCCTGAGTATAAGATTTTCACATGGGGATCGTTCTTCCCACGTATTTGTGCAGCGCCTGGCACATGAGCACATTTTCTATTTAGACGGCTTGGTCCTACTTTCAGCCACTTTATCAAAGTCTTAGTACGCCTGTAGTATTCAAAGGGGCTCACAATAGCATTACGAGGCGCAGAAAAAAGGAAATCAGATGGTGAAACATCCCAATAAACTGAACAGCAAGGGAAAACGCAAAAAAAAACCCAAAACATTTAGACATGGCTGGAAGTTTCAGGCCCTGGGACATATTTGGGTGCTTGATTCAGCCCTCCGGTATCTCAGCACGTACCTGAAAATCTTTTGCAACACGATGGACCAATGTTGCTCCACAAACATAGTGCCAGAGCTCCTTGAGAAATGCACATTTCTATTCCCTCCTCAACCACCCAGTTTCTTTGCTTCCTGCGTATCACACTTAGTCGGCTGGGGCTCGAATTCCTGATCAGGGTGCGTAGGCCAGGACCTATAGCAGTGGCGACACTGAGAGCGATTGTCGGGATCCCCCAGTTGCTGCTGCTTTCTGTTGCGCGCGGCTGCTTCGTTCGCCCAGATGCAGATGTCCGGGGGACGTTTTTCTCCCCAGCAAAGGCGGGCGGGATGCTCGCAGCCCCCTCGGTGAGGAGCCGAGTCCCACCAGTTCGTTTCTCGCCCCCTTCCCGGGAAGCGAACGCACACTTGCAGAAGGCGGGAGCAAGTTTTGACTATTTTAGGGCCTGAAATTCTCCGTCGGCATGGCAACTTCCGACTCCTCACCTCTGACGGAAGCAGCTTAAAATAGCAGATCCAGAAAATCCACACCACGCTCGGCGCTTGCAAACCTGGCTCCAGCATCGCAGGCAAAAAGCCCTTGGCGGGGGGGGGGCCAGGACCTGGCCTCTCGGGGCTTGCAAAACCCCAAGGCTACAGAGGACAACTTGTGGGCCATTGGCACCCACTGACTGAAGATGGAGGTTTTTATCTGGGGCCTCCCCAGGACAACGTAACTGCCAAAGTCCTTTGGGACAAGCAAACGAGAACCCAAATCCTTGCAATCTTTTCAGTCGAAAGGTATTGCTTTCTCTGTCACCAGGCAGTATCATCCCCTTCTTTGCTCAATAAAACTTTGATTTTTGTCAGCCCTGCCCATGGCCATCAAAACCTCCAGCTTTCCGTGGACCTGGCTCCATCCCGGATATATTTTCCCTTAGGCCTGCAGGCTCCGGGGCTTTCCAGTGTCGCGTGCCTGTCATTTTGAGAAAGCGGCTGCTGAAGTCTCGCCAACCCTTCGAGGTTCCTTTTTATTATTATTTTTGTTCACTTGGGAAAACCCATTAATTTTTATGACTGGTTTTTTCCCCGAACCATTTATTTTTTTCTCAGTGCACATATAAACAATTCCGATTCTACGGGGCAAAGCAAGCATGTGGCGCGTCTCCTCTAATCCCCGCTTAACCTAATTCATTTTCTGTCTAAGAACAAAACTCCACGAGATTCATTCAAGGAGCCTGGATTATGTCTCCGCCAGCCTATAACACTCATGTCGGATTAGCGCATAAAAAAACCTAGAAGTCATCTGCAAGCCGCTAAACCTACAGCAACCCAAACACCTAGCAAATCCCTTCCTGGGCCTGGATTTGAGTTAGGAGCCAGGATCCGCAATCAGCGCTGAGCCACTGGCTGAGGCCGGAGCGGAGCGGGGGCCGGGGCTCCTCGCAGCAGCGGGGAGACGGGTGGCACAACTGTGTCTGCCGCAGGAACGCCGGCAGCTGCTCTTGGATCTCATCACGCAAACGTCATCGGCAGCGCACAGCCCAGTGCTCAGAGCTATTTTTAGGTCTTTGAGGATCCGGACCTTGCTGCCTTGTTTTATTCCGCAGGCTTTTCTCTTTTCTCCTCTCTGTTACCCAGAACTGCCTGGAGAGTTCAAGGGGGAATCGGGATGCCTGTGGATTTTGATGGCTTTCTTGTGGGAAACGGAGGTGGTCTGTGATCAGGGATCGAGGGCTGGCAAAATACAAATACTCTCCTCCGAAGAGAAGGCGTGTTTTGTACAAGCACAATCTCTGCTGCTTGCTGCTGCTTTTAGAAGAGCTTGTTGACATTTTTCCATCAAAATACTTTCCACTCTCCCTCCAATTGATGTCTTCTTCTTTTTTCTTTTCTTTCCCCTTCCCTTCCCTTTCCTTTCCTTTCCTTTCCTTTCCTTTCCTTTCCTTTCCTTTCCTTTCCTTTCCTTTCCTTTCCTTTCCTTTCCTTTCCTTTCCTTTCCTTTCCTTTCCTTTCCTTTCCTTTCCTTTCCTTTCCTTTCCTTTCCTTTCCTTTCCTTTCCTTTCCTTTCCTTTCCTTTCCTTTCCTTTCCTTTCCTTTCCTTTCCTTTCCTTTCCTTTCCTTTCCTTTCCTTTCCTTTCCTTTCCTTTCCTTTCCTTTCCTTTCCTTTCCTTTCCTTTCCTTTCCTTTCCTTTCCTTTCCTTTCCTTTCCTTTCCTTTCCTTTCCTTTCCTTTCCTTTCCTTTCCTTTCCTTTCCTTTCCTTTCCTTTCCTTTCCTTTCCTTTCCTTTCCTTTCCTTTCCTTTCCTTTCCTTTCCTTTCCTTTCCTTTCCTTTCCTTTCCTTTCCTTTCCTTTCCTTTCCTTTCCTTTCCTTTCCTTTCCTTTCCTTTCCTTTCCTTTCCTTTCCTTTCCTTTCCTTTCCTTTCCTTTCCTTTCCTTTCCTTTCCTTTCCTTTCCTTTCCTTTCCTTTCCTTTCCTTTCCTTTCCTTTCCTTTCCTTTCCTTCCCTTCCCTTCCCTTCCCTTTGTTTTCCCCTGAGTTTTGGCAGGAAAATATTATTAATGCATGTCATTTTTTCAAACAAGTTACGCACTTTCACTTCAATGTGTTTTTGGAACAGCGACAAATGTCCAAGCATTTTATCCCTTTCTGCAACTGGGCAATGAACGTTTAATGCAAGGAAGTTCTTCCTGGCCGGCTGTATTTTTTTCATTTCCCTCCCTTCTCACCTCTTCCCTTGCTTTCTAGCTCACAGAAGCCTCTCCGCTTGAGGAAGGGGCATCGTGGCTGCCGCGAGTCTCTCCGGTTTCCGTAGGGTGCTCCGTGGAGCCGTCCCGCTGCGATGGCAGAGACTGGAGGGTTTGGGGGCGAGAGCTCCCTGGCTCCTGGGGACCGGGAGACAAAACAGTCTCTCCAACGAAGCAGTGAAGCTCAGGGATCAGAAGAAGCGGTGAGGGGACCCACGTGCCGTGGAGGATTGGGAGAGCGGTGGAGACATTTTCCTCCTGGAAACGCCAGCGTTCGGAGTTTCAGCTTCCTCGGGGCCTGCTGATGCCTCCAGCTCACCTGTGGCTTCCGGGGTGGGTGTTTCGGGGCTTTGCTGCCCTGGGGTTTTGGGGGATTTTCTCTCTTCAGGAGAAAACCAGACTCATGCCTGTTAGAGGATTCCTCCTCTCAACTGAGCCACCTTTAACGAGGCCAGAGCCTGCTGCAGGCTCTGGGCTGCAGGGGGAAGCAGGAGCCAGCTGGGAGCAAGAGCTATTTCCAAGCCTGGCAGCGCTGAATCAGCGCCGGCCGCGAGGAGCAAGCCGGGGCGCTGCCGCCTGCCGGCTGCCGCTCGCCCTCACTTCACCCATCTCCGGCTTCTGCGCTGAGTGCAAGGGGGCACCGAGTCCCCCATGCAGCTCTTCTCATCCTTTTCGTGCCATACAGACCCCCTTTGCGATAGGGCCCTTTGTATTTTACCTGGCTGACATTAAACTTGTTTTTCTCCATCATGGTCCCTTAGAAAAAAAAAAAAAACAGATGCCCAGGACTAGTATAGAGCGCTTCCCCCAGCCGGCTGGAAAACCAGGGGGTTGCAGCCCTTATGCCTAACGCCCGAGGAGATTTAAGGCAGTGCAACCAAGGTGCGCTCTGCCTTGGCCGAAGAGGCAGCAGGTCAGGGCTCCTCTGGCAAGGCACCGCCTGAGTCTCGCTAAGGCTCACACGTAAGCCCAGAGGCAGGCAAGCTCTTGCAGCCTCTGTTGCCACTGAGAGGAGACTTATCCTGACTTACAGTGTAATTCCCAGGCTGTCGTGGTGTGATCTCTGCCAGACCAACAAACCAGCTGCTCAGGAGCAATTTCCTGGGATGTGCTGCCTCCAAACACAAGCGCTCCTCGAGCCATTGAACGGCGATGCAAAGTTAACGCATGTGAGTACTTGCATTTATATATGGGTCTATCACACTATCATTAATCCTGTCAACTCCCAGGAGCTTTTTTTATTGATTCTTTAGACATGAGTGTCAAGGCTTGAGGTGCTGCAGGCACGAAGGCCTTCAGGGTCAGGCTCCGGGTGGGTTCCCACAGGGGCTGGAGGGCTGCAAAGGGCTGCTGTGCTCGGGCTGCTGGAGCCGATGGGGCAAACCCTCCGGCCCTGCTCCTCCAAATCTCCCAGAAAAAGGCTAGCTTACACCCCGACTCAGTTCCCAAGGGTAATTCGGCAGAGGAGCTCACGGTCCTGCCCCGCTGCTGCCGAGTGCGTGCGCCTTCACTGCGGCTACAGCCAGCCCCCTCCGAGCTGAGCCAACGGGACAATGTCGCTGCATTAGCAGAGGCAGTAAAAATTCATGGGAAACACATCAAAGTTATAGATCTAAAGTGCCTCCCTGGTTTCTAGCTTCTCCGTTAGCTGCACAGCCCTGCTGGCTCCCCAAGCCCCAGCCACACAAGCACTTGGGTTCAAGCTTAGGTACAACGGATGGGGTAGAAACTCAGGGAGGGTGTGTGTGTGACCAGAGCAAGGGGCTTAGGAAAAGACAGAACTGAAGCAGATTTGCCCCTGGGAAGAAAATATACGTTCCTGCGCTCTTCCCCCAACCCCCCCCCAAAAATCAGGTCGAAATCCAAAACAGCTTTGAGGGCTCAAGCTCTGTCAGAGAGCACAGAAACCTGGCCTGAGAAGCACGAATGTTGGGATAGGGGAAGAAAGCATCTCTTAAAATGGTCATTAAAAGGCAGGCTAATTGCTGTTTGTCGATATTGCCCCTGTAAAACGGTGGCCCTTTTGGGGCACTACCGTTTACAAGCTCCACTATCCTCAAAGTGCCGGGCAGCGTTGCTGGCAGGGGGAGGCAGGCGATTTCACGTTGCCAAATGTATTATACCTATGGGAAAGCAGGGAATAGATAATGCTGCAATTTCTGGGCTAGTAAAACCAAAACGAAGGGGTACTTCTTGGACTTCAGCCTCTGCCGAGGCTCTGGTCTCTGACAGTAAAACCGCAATAACAAGAACAGGAGGCCAAATTTTTCAGTGACTGGCCCAATATGTCTCAGGCTGGAGTAATACGACAGGCGGATAAACTTCATAATTCAGTATCTAATTCTTCAGTGTAACAGGGAGCAGAAAGGCCAGGAAGAAAAAGCAAGCTGCCACCTCTAAGAAAGAGAATAAGCCCCAGGGAGCTCGAGTGAAAGGCTGCATTCAAACAAGATGCCTTGCTTTCCAGTGCTTGGGTTTCTTGAAGGATATTATACTTTTTAGAGCTGTGTTTTTCAGTCTCTTTTCATCATTCACGAAGTAGGGGAGCTGTCTCCCTAAGCTACACGATAAAACCCAGTTTGCGTTCATGCACTTAATTTCTGGAGAGCAGGCTATCTAGATAGCAAAGGGTGGGCTTGGCTGATTCAGG